GAGAGAGAGAGAGAGAGATGAAAGTTGCGTGTGTGAACCTGCGTCTGCTCGCTTCTCTCTACAAGCAATGAGGCTTAGTTACTTCAAAAACAGCGATTTACCCCCTCATTGCAGAGAAATATAAAGTTGCGAGTCAGTAGCCTGTCGAAGCTATTTTACTAATAAAAGTTTCCGTGCTATGTTGTCGTGTGCACTAATGTGTGTGCGTGTGTCTAAGCAGTGTAGCCTACTGCATATAGTTTTAGTTTAGCTATAAACCCGAGCACGATCCGAACCCGAAGCTATTCATTAAATTTTAACCCGAACCCAACCCGAAAGTATTTCGGGACCCGTCGGGCTCGGCTCGGGTAGCAGACCTCTAGTGTGGTGTGAAGCTGGCATAATTTACATTAGCTTTAGTGTTATAAAGGTTCTCTGCTATGCACAATAAAAAGTGGCAACAAGTAGTGTATGATTCAGCTTTTTCTTGTCTTGTGTTTCCAGCGGTGGAGTCCTGTGTAAACTCTGGAGCGCTATCACTGAGCACAGAAAGACGCCGGGCTGAAGACGACAGCCACGTGCAATCCAGAGCAAATATCTAGTGGGATCAATTCAAGTCTTTGTGATAGTACAGATCACATGTAAATACGTGTTTTAACTTTTTTTTGGTGCTGTCAAACGATTAATCGCGATTAATCGCATCCAACATAAAAGTGTTTGTTTACATAGTATATGTGTGTGTACTGTGTATATTTATTATGTATATATAAATACACAAACATTTAAAAAATATTTACATGTGTGTGTATACGAATATAAATTCGTATATAATTTGTTATATATAAATATTAATATTTTGTATATAAACAAAACGTATTTTTCTTAAATATATACATGCATGTGTGTGTATTTATATACATTATAAATATACACAGTACACACTAGGGCTTAATTTCAAGGGAATAATCGACAAATATGATTTTTGTCATAATCGTGCAGCCCTACTACACACACACACACACACACACACACATATATATTATGTAAACAAAAACTTTTATTTTGGATGCGATTAATCGTTTGACAGCACTACTTTTTTCTTGGTCTGTGAAGTTGCAGTTATACAAGTGACTAAATTAATTGTTGAAGATCCACAAATTTGATACATGAGCGCTGTTAAGACATCTTTATAGAGGAAGCTTGTTTTATTTTTTAATATTTGTTTACAGAAACATGCCTGAGAACCTTTTCCAGCCCAAAAAAAGACACTGGAACTAAACACATACGAGTCTAAGTGTGTGTTTTATATATTTTATATACTATATGTATCATTTATACGGTATATTGTCAAGTAATTTACAATATTTTATTTACATTTTTTTTTTATCAGCTAGTTATATTTGCTTATATTCTGAATTACAGCTATGAAGAAACACAATAACCAATCAAACTGTACTGTGTTCCCACATATTTGGGATGTTAAATGAATAAACCGCCTCTGAAATTGTATATAAACTCCCTCAGAGGTACATTCCTGAGATAATATGTAAACTGCACAATGTTTCTAGAAGCACAGAGAATATATATCACAATTGTGCACTTATGTCTATTTATTCGGCACAAACCTCCAAGACCTTTTTACATTTTGGAATGCTGTTATTGTTGTTGAAATTGATGGCACTGCAAGTTTCTAGTTAAATCATAAAACAACATATAAATACACATGTAATGACTTCATCTGGTCATTTTCATTTCAGTGATTATTTTTTTAGTCAGTCATGGGAGGGAAAAAAACGTAGTTTATATATTTATATATTCATATACAGGGCTATGTAATGTGACAATCGTGTAACGATAAGTTGGATATCTGTGGTAAATGTTTGCATGATAAGTGTTTTCATTCTAACTCTTTTGTGCAAATTGGAATTTGACTTTTGAAGTAAATAAAAACTTTGAAAAAATTTTTTCCTTCGTAATTCCAGCTTATATAACATTAGTGTTATTACATTTACGCTTGTTGTGTAACGGTACGTTAATATGTTTCTGGTTACAACAGTCTCTGGGACATCTTATTTTTTCTTCATTTGCATAAAAAAGGGTCCTCTAGGTGAAAATCAAAAGTTTAATGTCTTGAAAAGTAACAACACATTATTATGCGTGACTGTATTACAAAGAGAAGTTACTGACAAACTCTTTAGCGCACAGACGATGCACTGGAATAACTGGACCCTGGGACAAACATTAGAGAAACTCTGTCCTAAAGAGTGTTTGGGAAAAAAAATCAACATTGAGACAAGCTGCAGTGATTTACTGGTAAACTATACTGACAAATAATTATATCAGTGGCAACTAAAACAATTATAATTTTTTTAATTCATAGATAAGTGAAATTGTAATGATAATTTGTCATTATAAGCTGCTGGTGTATAAATAAACACAATGCCGCTCTTAACTCTGAAACACACAGCTCCACAGACAAAATATGATTCTAATTATAATAATATCTTTTAATTAAATCACAACGTTTAGTTCGATGATCGCAATTGAATGAGATATTTCAGTTAATTGTGCAGCCTCATGTGTTTATTTTAATGTCACACTCCATTTAATTAATTATTAGCTTTTCATCAACTTACAAACACCCTGAAATTCCCTCATGAGCACCTGTTTGGTAAACCCTGCCTTGGGGCCATCACTAAATGTGTCCCCCTGCATTGCTTAAGTGTTCCCTTGGGTTCTGAATGCATTGCTACAAAGTCCCTAGTAACCATTTCACCCTTTAAAAAGGTAAGGCACCAAAACAGGTCCCTTAAAGGGATAGTTCACCCAAAAATGAAAATTCTGTCATCATTTACTCACCCTCATGTCGTTCCAAACCTGTGTGAGTTGCTTTCTAATGTTGAACACAAAAGAAGATATTTTGAAGATTGCTGGTAATCAAAGGTTGCCATTGAGTTTTTTTTTTCCTACTATGGAAGTCAATGGCAACCACCAACTGTTTGATTACCAGCAATCTTCAAAATATCTTCTTTTGTGTTCAACATAAGAAAGCAACTCATACATTTAAATTTTTGGGTGAACTATCCCTTTAAGGCATCTACTGAATTTGCTGATTTTGAGTTCATATTTTGAACATTAACAGTATATCTTTAACCCTGTGCGCTCCTCATTTGGGAGTCAAAAGTGACCGGACACCTGAAATGAAACTTTTTTTTTCTTCAGTAAAATCAATCTAATATATTTTTGTTCAATAATATTTTTTCTTTTGTATTTTGAGAGAATTTCATGGCACTAATTAATATTTATGCAATAATTATGATCAATTTTTCCCTTTGAAATAGTACAAAAAATTTTTTTTCTAATTTTAAAAAAATTATTTTTCAATTACTGCAGTATTTCAGATTAAAATAGAGACTAGGCCTTTAAAAAATGGCAACCACCAACTGTTTGATTACCAGCAATCTTCAAAATATCTTCTTTTGTGTTCAACATAAGAAAGCAACTCATACATTTAAATTTTTGGGTGAACTATCCCTTTAAGGCATCTACTGAATTTGCTGATTTTGAGTTCATATTTTGAACATTAACAGTATATCTTTAACCCTGTGCGCTCCTCATTTGGGAGTCAAAAGTGACCGGACACCTGAAATGAAACTTTTTTTTTCTTCAGTAAAATCAATCTAATATATTTTTGTTCAATAATATTTTTTCTTTTGTATTTTGAGAGAATTTCATGGCACTAATTAATATTTATGCAATAATTATGATCAATTTTTCCCTTTGAAATAGTACAAAAATTTTTTTTTCTCATTTTTAAAAAATTCTTTTTCAATTACTGCAGTATGTCAGATTAAAATAGAGACTAGGCCATTAAAATCCAATTTTTAAAGGCAGAATAGCACCTCCTGCTGAGAGCAAAAAAAAGAAAAACCTGTAATTTCATGGTGTAACCACTAGATTCATGCATAGGACTCTATAGAGAGGCTTGTGAATTCCCTAGTTGTTTTTATACATAATTGTTTACTTTTATTAGGTTGTGGATTTAAATGTATATTAAGGCATTCTCAAAGACTACTTTTTGTCAAGGTTTATATTTTTTGTTGTTTTAAATGTTGATTTGAAGTGTAGGTTTTTGCATTATTATTACTACATTCAAACCTGAACACAGAAAGCATTTTGTTACACAAAACATT